TACCTCTCTTGTATTTTCCCTCATTTCGGCACAAAACCATCTTTTTAATACCAATCTCTCAAACTTTCCAAAGGCATACTTTCAAGAAAATTTTCTGAGTTAAATATAAGTTATTTAGCATGTTTTTATCACAATAGAGACGAAAATTTTCCCTTAGTGGATCCCTTTTCTCATAAAACTTATTGTTTTGGGCATTGTACCTTAGAATATGTTTTCGCAACCCACTTTCAAAAATTCTAGAAAAATTTATAAAATTATTCCGGACCTCTATTTTATGTCAAAATCTTCCTTAAGGAGTTATATTTCAACTAAAATTGGTTTCATTGAAAAAAAGTGAGCGGTTTGCAAGAAAATCAAATTTTCGTAACGATCGACAAATCTGGACAGCGCTGGAGTGTTTTCTAAATAACTTAAAATCTAGAAAAGCAATCCCATTTCTGAAATATGTTCTGGAAACTAGATTAAATTCTCTACGAACCATAGTTAGGCTGAGTCCGGTAAAAATTCTAAAATAGTCCTTTCATTTTAATCCTTATGTGATATTAAATCTGGAAATTCTGTTGTGCATGGATGTTTTATACTCCCGTGTTCATGACAATGCTTATTAGCTTATGATCATATCTTGGCATGATATTATATGTGTTATGGTTATGTTCTTTATCTTCTTCATCTTAATGATGCATGCTTATATGGATATTATTATATTGTTAAGTTGGTCTAACCTTGATTTAAAACATTTGACTCAACGAAAAACTTAATTGGGATGGTATTGGAATTTTGATCACTAGAGTAATGAAAAGATGATAATGTGTGATGTATGGATTGTTGGGATGCGTTCCTTATTTGGAAGCTAAGTCTTGCGCAAGTGGTTTTCGGAACCCTTGAACGGAGCGGTTGTATTCGGACCTTAGGTGGTTTGGTGTGAGGAGGGATTTGGGCAAGGCCCATTGTTACCGTCTCTTTTGACACCTTACGGTTGGCGCTACGCGGTATATAACCGTTGGTAGGCATTTGAGGTTAGTTCTGCAACAAAGTAGCAAAATAGGGGACATACCGAATAATCCGCGTCCGATTCTTGTGGTTGGGAGGACGAAATCTCTTTGGAGGATTTCTAGTTTACTAACACCTAACTTGTAACATTTTATTTATTTAGTTGAGTATCATGCTTTACTGCTTGATGTTATATTGGTGATTGCGTATTGGACTGGGAAAAAAGGGGATGGGGTGTGTGTGTGTTTATTGGGCATTCAAAGCTCACGACGTATCATGCCAGATGATGAAGATGAACTTATAGCTAGAGACGACAAGCCTGAAACCTTCGAAGACTTTTAGCTATCTTAGGAAAGTTAGAAATTTCCTTTGATATTTTGTAAGACTCCAGTGAAGATTTAAATTTTCTTTTGGGATGTAATGTAATGGAACAAGCTTTTGAATTAAGGATATTTGTGGTTGTTATGTATTTATATTCTACGTATATGCATGAACCTTATCGTTGCTTGTGAGACCTTGTGTCAATACCTTTTAAGATCTGTCAAAAGGGTAGTGCGTTGCCTAAGAAAGCTGGACTTAGAAGGGAGGCTAATTTGACTCCTCCGGCGATCTGGGATCTTACTTGGTTATTGACCATAGGACTCATTAGTGACTCTCCCTTGACTGCAACCAATAGTGTAGAATCGGGGCGTCACAGATATGGTTGCTTTCAAACCATTCATACTAGCTGAATAGGTGCTTCAACTATATAGGAGGCTCAGGAAGATGGTTTGGGTTTAAAAGATTTTTGAAGACTATGCGAGATCGAAGACATATAGCTTTCTTTTGACACTATGGTTATGCTCTCTCTTTTTTTTTTTAAAATATTTGGGTTTGTTAAGTAGGTTTATGGTTTAGAGGTATTTGTTCTTATATAGGTAGGTTTTGAATGAATGATCCCCAGTTGCTTTTGCCAATGTATAAAATTCATTCTATGGTGGTCGCAGCTGGGTGATTTTTGTTTTGGGGTTTGGGATTGGGTATTGTTTAAAGGGATGTATCCTCCTTGGTTACGAACCAAACCATGCACACACAAAAAATGTATAATAATCTTGCATGGGTGATTTAAGAACAGTTAAAACCTCAAAAGACAATCAATTAGATGTTTAAATTACAAGATTATTTCTCTATAAATTATTACAGAGAATGATATGATTGGTGGTTGGCATTTGAAAGGCTAAGATGAAAGTAGCAAAGATATAGAGAAGAGGAGATTGAGAGATTACAAATATGAAAGTTGAAATGTTTGCATAGAAGAAGGCAGATGGTGAGGTGAGAGATGGACACACACAGATGGACATGAGTGATGACCCATCACTACTGATTGTCCTATATATGATGCAAAGGACTCCCAGATTGGGGACACACTAATAGACCTTCTTGAGGTTTCTTTAGCTTTACCATTCTATGTCAATAACTCAAATTTTTTTAAATATTTTTTTAATTTCCCAACAGTGGTTTCAAGACCCATCGTTCAACACCAAAACAAAGGTATTTTACATTGTCTCTTGAATTTCCCTTTCTCTGCTCTTGATCGCTGTTGTTGGTTGATTATGTTGTTTGGATTTGATGTTTGAATTCTGAATCCTGAAGGATTTGTTGTTTGGATTTGTTGGTTAATAATATTTTGTATTACTTTTAAGATTTCATATACAGCACATAGTGCTTCCCTTTTGCAATAGTTAGCCTTCTATTTGACATGTAACTTTATAGAGACATGTCCAATTTTGGAGTTAATAATAATGTATTTTGGAGTTGATCTCAATCTCAATTAAACAATGGACGTTTTATTTCTAGGCTTTTTAATCTGTAGAAAATGTGCTAAAAATTTACCAAATAGGTTTTTGTTTTCAGGCTTCTTTTTTTCTCCTTCCTTGAAAGTTCAAACATTGAGTTTGGATGTGCTTTGATTGTTGGAAAACTTTGTTCTTTACCTGCTCACAAAACTTTTTGCTTTATTGTTGATTGTAAACGAAAGAACAGAACAACAACTTAAAGATCGCATAAACACGTAATTAAACTAAAATAAAACTATTTGGGCGTTAATTGAATTTCATTTGAAAACTCGCCTACGTTCTTATAAAGTTTAATTTCAAATCCCTTCATTTGATTGGAAACTCTCACAGCTTCTGTGAACTTAGATAGATATTTTTGAGTTTGTTTTATGGTGGGTCACCAAAGCTCAACAATGGTTGTTTACCTATGCCATTTTATTGGTATAGAAACAGAGATTTTCAGGTTGAGGGCATAATTTCATCTCTATAATTGACCCAAAGCTCAACAATGGCTGTTTGCCTATGCCATTTTCTTGGTATAGAAACAGGAATTTTCAGGTTGAAGGCATAATTTCATATCTATAATTGATAATTTATTTTTAAGGCAGGAATGGTTGGGATTACAATTATATTAATAATTTATTAAATATAATTGGTAATTAATAATTTATTAAATAGTGTTGGGATTACAATTATATTTTAATCCCAACATTATTTACACTGTGCCTTCAGGCACGGCCATACGCTAGTACTATCAATAAATTCAACATAATTGCATCCATTAACAGCTAATGAAGGTTAAGTAAACATAAAGGATAACCTGATAATCAAGAACGAGAAAACATACATCAAAATAGTTTAATTTTGACCAGTTAAATCCTATTTTCCCCATAGAATTTCCTCTTCAATCATATTAGCAATATGCTAAGAGAGTTGATTCAAGTGTTAATAAGACCTAATGGACATTTCATGGGAAAGTAAGACATTCTTTGAACATCTCTACATGCTTAGATCTGGTAAGTATTTATTGAGTAACGTTGGGTACTCCTAAATATACTTAAATCAGATAAGTATTTACTTTGTACTATTATATGCTGTTGTTGATTAGTTTTGGAAACAACCAAGACCAAGAACATCTCCAAGACCCAACCCCTGCTATGTAGTAAATTTAGAGAAAATATTTTAGGGTCTTAAACATTTTACTAAGAACATCTCCAACCCTTCATGAATTTTATTCACTGGACTATACATGTATATATATCAAGTGAAACCCATTTCAGACCCAAAACCTTTTAAAAATGAAAATATCCAGATTCAAAATCTATTTCAAAAATGAAAACTCATTTCATTTCAAAATCAACCCAACCAAACACCCACATGTCACAAAAATGAAAACTCATTTCATTTCAAAATCAACCCAACCAAACACCCACATGTCAAAAATATCCGGATTCAAACTTTACAAACCCACAAAAATATTCAGATTCAAGCAAAAAAAATCATGAATTGCAACTTTACAACCAAACCTACAAAAACATCGTGAATTGCAAAAGTTGGAAGTTCTAGTTTACCTTACAAGGGGAGAGAGACGAAAGAGGAGGGTGAGAGGAGAGGAGGTGGTCGGTGGTCGTCGTACGGGATGGGTTTCGATGCAGGTAAAGAGAGAGAGAGAGAGAGATTTTCTGACCATTAGATCTTGATGGTAATTGATTTTAACCGTTGATGCTCAAAGAGCATTTGGGCGGAAAATAAAGACATCTTAACCATTGAAGTTGAGTTGAGACAATTTAAACCATTTGATCAAAATGTATTTGTAAGATAAATTTGACATTTTTCAAAAACCCTTCTCCCTTATTATATAGATATGAAAGGACAAGTTTGTCTAAAAAAAAAGTAATTTTTTTTTTCTTTTCTGTATCCTCCATCAAGTATGGGCCCCAGGTGAGGCAGTATATGAAGAAGAAATTTATGAATTGTTCTTTTTACCCAAAAAAAATAGGTTTAATGAAAGGGTTTTGGCCAAATTTTATTTTATTTTATTTTCATGTTCAAAATACTATTGAAGCTCACCGAGGCCCAACCCAGTTCAGGCCCAACGTAAATTTGCAAAGTTTGGAATTGGGCTTAACAGTATGGGTAAATTCTCAAGGCATCTTGGGTTACGTACAAAGCACTTTTAATCCGGCGAAAGCCCACCTTAAAACTAGGGTTTTTCATGGTGCCCTCCCTTATATATGAAACCAAAGCAGACAACATTCGCCCTGCTATATATATATCGTCGAGAGGGAGACAGTACAGTAGCGAAGCTCTGCGCCATTTCTGCTCAGCTTCATTGGCGACGTTGTTGTAAGTATTTTTCTGACATCTGTGCACTTCTCTCTGGTTCTGTTATATGCAAATGGTTCATCAATTTTGTTGTTGTCTATGGAGTTTTAAGATGATAATGGCTCGTAATCGGTTGAGCTTTATGCAGCTAGTTACCTTCGCTGAGAAATCATGTAGTTGTTTTGTTTGTCTTGTTTTCTTTGGAAATCGATTTTTGTATGTTAGGGGTGTAAGTGTTTTGATTAGGGTTTTAGATATGTTGTTTTTTCATTTGAATTATTATTATGTTTCTCTGTATGCAATTTGAGAAATATGTAATTTTTGTTGTCATTTTCCTGAAGCTATTGTAGTTGAGCAAATCGAATTATGTTCATCTTCCTTGGTTTTTACATGAATTGAATGTGCATACATGTTAATAGCGCTGCTATATTGAATATCTTGAGGTTTGACTGAACCTGTCCCCAGTTGTGTGGTTTTCATGGTAAATATGTATGGTTGATTTTATCATTTGATATAGTATATTTCTCTGTTTGCAATTTGAGAAATATTTAGTTTTTGTTGTCATTTGTAATTGAGCAAATCAAATTTTGTCCATTTTCCTTGGTGTTAACTTGCAAGTTGCATTCAGTGTGCATACACGGTAATAGTGTTGCTATTGTTGAATCTTGGTTCTGTAATTTCATGTGGCTCGACTGAACATCTCACCGGTTTCGTGTGGTTTGCATTATAAATATGTATGGTTGATTTTGTAAGCATGTCATTGTGGGGTTGTTAGTGGGTTTTTGCTGCTTTTTCCCCCTTTCATGGATGCCCTGGCCAATGAAATGCTGTTTATATTTTCAAACTGCGTCTATAATTTTAATGATTTATTCCAAACAGCATTCCTGATCAACATGTAAAACACGTTTCTTTGAATTGCTTGCAAATATTTTGCACCTCAACTAATATTTTGCACCTCAACCAAGGTTTTGAAAAGCGGTTACAGTCGCTGTAACGGTGGCGGTGGCGCGGTTGTGATTGTGGGGTGTAAAGGCCGTAGCGTAACGGTTGCGGTAGCCGAAACCGTGAATTTTTTATTTTTCGCACAATTTGAAAAAAACTTACCGATACGCATATTTTTTTCCATGATGGGTTTTAAAATAAATATTGATCAATTTTTGTAAATTTTTAAGTATAATCCAGTATATTTCATATTTTTAAATCACTATAAACTGAGTTTTTTTCATTTTATTATAATAATTAATGACTTTATATTATACAAAAAATCAATCACTAACTATTATATATAAGATAAACATTGACAAAAGTAAAAGAATAAATAAGAGTCTAAATATATATATACATATTTTAATCAAGCCAAATAGATAATGACCACACTTATTATTATTATTATTAATATTATTATTATTATTATTATTATTTTCAAACAATATACACGCACAAACAAAATGGTTGAGTGATAGCAACTGAATAAAATAGCATAAGTCTTACAGTTTCAACAAATCAATAACATGTTCTTCATCTTCCTTTTTCCTTATCGCTATTTTTTGCTCCTTCATATTCCCTTTTTATCTTCCCTCTTCTCTCTCTATCACTCTTTTCCCATTTTCAACTTTTTCGTGTGTTTTTTCGAAAGAAGAGTTCGGAATCATTACGTAACGGTGCGTAACCGACCGTTACGGCTGTTACGGCACTGTTACAACCGCTACGGCCGACACACATGTGAATCTCAATCACACTGCAAAAGCGGCCGTAACGGGTGGCGGTAACCACCACAACCGTTACGTATGCGGCCGCTTTTTAAAACCTTGACCTCAAGATATTATAATTATCTTTTAGGTCTAGATCACGTCCTAATATCGATAACAATCTTTTTTTGTGCCGTTTGGAGTGATGAAAAAGGAAAGATTGTATTCATTACAATTTACTATTATTATTTTATTTGTTGGGTGAAAATAATGTGAATAATCATTAATGCATAATATCATCAAGTTATTCATGGATGGGCCTTCTATTTTTATTTGTTTTGTTATAGCAGCATGTGAATCATGGCAAACTAAATAATTAAACAATGATCTTGTTTGGCAACTTGAAGTTTTAGGCAAAAAATCATTATAAGTTGTCACCTCACTCTCTTTACTTTTCTGCACATCTTTTCGTAAAAAGCTAAAAAATTACTAAGATAATTTGTTCCCAAACCAAGCATCTAAGTAACCCTAAATTTTGTGCCACACATCTGAAGTGTGTACTGTATATCAAGCAATTTACCTTTTCCCTTTTTCGACCTTGTTTACTTTAATCACTTGGAATGAAATTGGCTTGCTGTTGTTGGAGTTGTGATTTTTATACATTCTACTACTTTATAGGTAAGCCATGGTTAAGCATAACAATGTTGTGCCCAATGGGCACTTCAAGAAGCACTGGCAGAACTATGTGAAGACCTGGTTCAACCAGCCAGCCCGCAAAACCAGAAGAAGAAATGGTAAGCAGATCCTGTCTTTAACAAAAAAAGACAGTAAAGGATGCCACAATGCTGATCTGTGTTCTTTTTAGTTCTGCAAGTTGAGTTTAGTATGTTTTAATTTTTAAATTTTTATAGTAATTTTTTTTATGCCAACGTTTGCGATTATTGTCTTTTATTCCCATTTTCAGCGAGACAAAAGAAGGCTGTAAAGATTTTCCCTCGGCCCACAGCTGGCCCACTACGTCCCATAGTTCATGGGCAGACATTGAAGTACAATATGAAGCTAAGGGCTGGCAGGGGATTTTCTCTTGAGGAGCTCAAGGTCAGTTGTTTCATTTCTATCAGTAGGATGATTAGTTCAACGTGCTTTCCCTGTTATATTTAAGTTTCTTTTAGATCTTGACTAAAAGGAGGCAAGAAAGTTAATACGTAGAAAATGTTTTAGTATGTGAATGTTCTTCACTTGAATGTTTTGATAACAAGTATGAATGTTTTTTATATTTAAATGCTATGCCTCTAGAATTGGAGGGGAGCTATACATTTGTAGTTAGTTTCGGATAAAATCCTTCAATTTCACTTTTGGATCAACTGGACAATTGTTGTAAAACTGGTAATCCCTTTGAATCTAAAATCTCAGCAAATGATATACTTTGGTAGTTTACCCCTTCTCTTTTCTATACCTATCAGGCAGCAGGTATTCCCAAGAAACTTGCCCCGACCATTGGCATTGCTGTTGATCATCGCCGCAGGAACCGTTCCCTGGAGGGTCTCCAGACAAATGTCCAGAGGCTGAAGACATACAAGGCCAAGGTGGTCGTCTTCCCAAGACGTGCTCGCAAGTTCAAGGTACTGTTAATATGGTTGACTGAACTTTGGTATGTAGGATTTGCTTGCTATTAGTTTATATTTCAACACCTTTTATGTAACTACTTTGACTGCAGGCTGGTGATTCTGCTCCTGAGGAATTGGCAACAGCCACCCAAGTCCAAGGCTCTTACATGCCTATTGTGCGCGAGAAGCCAACCGTGGAGCTTGTCAAGGTCACAGATGAGATGAAATCATTCAAGGCCTATGCCAAGCTACGTGTGGAGCGCACAAATACACGCCATGTTGGTGCCAGGTTGAAGAGAGCTGCTGAGGCTGAGAAGGAAGAAAAGAAATAGTTAGTTTTTGCCCATGCTGATGAGTGGAATTTTTGTTTTAATTTTTGCTTTTTCAGATCGTAAGTTAATTTGCTGGACTTCTTTTGAACCAGTAGTGGTAGTGTTTACAATATCAGTTGAATGTATGGATTTTGATTATTACTCGTTTATACCATTGTCTGGATTTTTTGTGTTCCATCATCCTGGATCCTTGTAAGATTAAGGCACCACCCAACTCTTTTGACTGTGTCGTTATTCAATTATTTTAAACTTGATTACTTTTGAGGTTGGTGTAAGTTTCTTTTGACAATGCCTTGGTGGTGGGGACTGCTTGCTGTTGAGTGAATATAATAATACTCCACGCTGAGTGGTGAATGGTGTTATTTGTGTGGAGATGGGTTTTTATGCATGATCTTAATCTATGGTCGGTGGTCGTCGTACGGGATGGGTTTCGATGCAGGTAAAGAGAGAGAGAGAGAGAGATTTTCTGACCATTAGATCTTGATGGTAATTGATTTTAACCGTTGATGCTCAAAGAGCATTTGGGCGGAAAATAAAGACATCTTAACCATTGAAGTTGAGTTGAGACAATTTAAACCATTTGATCAAAATGTATTTGTAAGATAAATTTGACATTTTTCAAAAACCCTTCTCCCTTATTATATAGATATGAAAGGACAAGTTTGTCTAAAAAAAAAGTAATTTTTTTTTTCTTTTCTGTATCCTCCATCAAGTATGGGCCCCAGGTGAGGCAGTATATGAAGAAGAAATTTATGAATTGTTCTTTTTACCCAAAAAAAATAGGTTTAATGAAAGGGTTTTGGCCAAATTTTATTTTATTTTATTTTCATGTTCAAAATACTATTGAAGCTCACCGAGGCCCAACCCAGTTCAGGCCCAACGTAAATTTGCAAAGTTTGGAATTGGGCTTAACAGTATGGGTAAATTCTCAAGGCATCTTGGGTTACGTACAAAGCACTTTTAATCCGGCCAAAGCCCACCTTAAAACTAGGGTTTTTCATGGTGCCCTCCCTTATATATGAAACCAAAGCAGACAACATTCGCCCTGCTATATATATATCGTCGAGAGGGAGACAGTACAGTAGCGAAGCTCTGCGCCATTTCTGCTCAGCTTCATTGGCGACGTTGTTGTAAGTATTTTTCTGACATCTGTGCACTTCTCTCTGGTTCTGTTATATGCAAATGGTTCATCAATTTTGTTGTTGTCTATGGAGTTTTAAGATGATAATGGCTCGTAATCGGTTGAGCTTTATGCAGCTAGTTACCTTCGCTGAGAAATCATGTAGTTGTTTTGTTTGTCTTGTTTTCTTTGGAAATCGATTTTTGTATGTTAGGGGTGTAAGTGTTTTGATTAGGGTTTTAGATATGTTGTTTTTTCATTTGAATTATTATTATGTTTCTCTGTATGCAATTTGAGAAATATGTAATTTTTGTTGTCATTTTCCTGAAGCTATTGTAGTTGAGCAAATCGAATTATGTTCATCTTCCTTGGTTTTTACATGAATTGAATGTGCATACATGTTAATAGCGCTGCTATATTGAATATCTTGAGGTTTGACTGAACCTGTCCCCAGTTGTGTGGTTTTCATGGTAAATATGTATGGTTGATTTTATCATTTGATATAGTATATTTCTCTGTTTGCAATTTGAGAAATATTTAGTTTTTGTTGTCATTTGTAATTGAGCAAATCAAATTTTGTCCATTTTCCTTGGTGTTAACTTGCAAGTTGCATTCAGTGTGCATACACGGTAATAGTGTTGCTATTGTTGAATCTTGGTTCTGTAATTTCATGTGGCTCGACTGAACATCTCACCGGTTTCGTGTGGTTTGCATTATAAATATGTATGGTTGATTTTATCATTTGATATAGTATATTTCTCTGTTTGCAATTTGAGAAATATTTAGTTTTTGTTGTCATTTGTAATTGAGCAAATCAAATTTTGTCCATTTTCCTTGGTGTTAACTTGCAAGTTGCATTCAGTGTGCATACACGGTAATAGTGTTGCTATTGTTGAATCTTGGTTCTGTAATTTCATGTGGCTCGACTGAACATCTCACCGGTTTCGTGTGGTTTGCATTATAAATATGTATGGTTGATTTTATCATTTGATATAGTATATTTCTCTGTTTGCAATTTGAGAAATATTTAGTTTTTGTTGTCATTTGTAATTGAGCAAATCAAATTTTGTCCATTTTCCTTGGTGTTAACTTGCAAGTTGCATTCAGTGTGCATACACGGTAATAGTGTTGCTATTGTTGAATCTTGGTTCTGTAATTTCATGTGGCTCGACTGAACATCTCACCGGTTTCGTGTGGTTTGCATTATAAATATGTATGGTTGATTTTATCATTTGATATAGTATATTTCTCTGTTTGCAATTTGAGAAATATTTAGTTTTTGTTGTCATTTGTAATTGAGCAAATCAAATTTTGTCCATTTTCCTTGGTGTTAACTTGCAAGTTGCATTCAGTGTGCATACACGGTAATAGTGTTGCTATTGTTGAATCTTGGTTCTGTAATTTCATGTGGCTCGACTGAACATCTCACCGGTTTCGTGTGGTTTGCATTATAAATATGTATGGTTGATTTTGTAAGCATGTCATTGTGGGGTTGTTAGTGGGTTTTTGCTGCTTTTTCCCCCTTTCATGGATGCCCTGGCCAATGAAATGCTGTTTATATTTTCAAACTGCGTCTATAATTTTAATGATTTATTCCAAACAGCATTCCTGATCAACATGTAAAACACGTTTCTTTGAATTGCTTGCAAATATTTTGCACCTCAACTAATATTTTGCACCTCAACCAAGGTTTTGAAAAGCGGTTACAGTCGCTGTAACGGTGGCGGTGGCGCGGTTGTGATTGTGGGGTGTAAAGGCCGTAGCGTAACGGTTGCGGTAGCCGAAACCGTGAATTTTTTATTTTTCGCACAATTTGAAAAAAACTTACCGATACGCATATTTTTTTCCATGATGGGTTTTAAAATAAATATTGATCAATTTTTGTAAATTTTTAAGTATAATCCAGTATATTTCATATTTTTAAATCACTATAAACTGAGTTTTTTTCATTTTATTATAATAATTAATGACTTTATATTATACAAAAAATCAATCACTAACTATTATATATAAGATAAACATTGACAAAAGTAAAAGAATAAATAAGAGTCTAAATATATATATACATATTTTAATCAAGCCAAATAGATAATGACCACACTTATTATTATTATTATTAATATTATTATTATTATTATTATTATTTTCAAACAATATACACGCACAAACAAAATGGTTGAGTGATAGCAACTGAATAAAA